AGGGGAGGGAAAAATCTAAATGTGGAAATTCACAGTTTCAGCTTTCTAAGGAACTTACCAGGAAGGAGACCAACTTGTGCATAAATAATACCAGGGAGTTAAAATAAGGGTAGGGAGGAAACAAGCCCACTACCCTCTAGTGAAACCCTAATGATATTATGAAGTTGCTCGAAAACCCCATCCCGACGTGTAGACAGCATTAGGATCCTACCAAATCTGAAAGCAGGAACATGGTGAAGTGGGAAGAGGTTGCTGAGAGGACACTCTTACGGAGGTGAAACCAGGATGGACGTCTCAGTGTTATGCGCCTTCTTCAGTTCTGTTCCAGTGGGTTTATTGATTGTAGGCTGTCCTTTCAGTCTAGGGCATTATGGCTCGGACCATGTTAAATTCTCTGTCTATTCCTTGGTCGTTGGTAGAATGTGTTCCCCAAACTTTGCACCCAGTAGCCATTCTAAAACTGTCATTCACTGACTGATGCTCAAATGAATTTTGTCTTCTATATGAGAGAAATGTGAGTGGGTTGTATGTTAAAGTTCTTGGAAATACTGTTCAAGGCCAGTGCCTTGAACTTCAAGGCATTGTATACCTAGCGGATAGTATACAATTTGTACTTATAAAGCCATTAATAATCAGGAAGCTCTTATCTTGAGTGGAAATACAAGTCATGATAAACATTGCAACACATTTTCTTTCCCTATCAAATTCATATATTGTGGAATATGAACATAATTTTTTTTACATTAAAATTACTATCTCTACTGATATAATTAAATTTTAAATCCTGAGAAGAAAACAGAGAAAGGGAGAATGGGGCTGGGTGTGTGGCGCTCCCAGCCACTGGCCCAGGGTGCACTGCAGCTTCTGTGCGTCCACATGCTGAGTGTGGCACACACACCCTGCTGGAGACACGTAGGGCAGTGCTCCCAAAGCCTGCTGGGGACACGCAGGGCAGTGCTCCCAAAGCCTGCTGGCAGAGCCTTCCGCCTGCAGGACAGCAGAGGGGCTGTCCTGTAGGAGGACTGTAGGAGGACTTTCGTCCCAGATGCAAGGGCAGCTGCAACCTGGCGCTGACCAAAAGGTGAGCGTTAGGAGAAAGGCCAACACCTGGTCCACCAGCATCACTACCAGCTGCAGCCTGAGGGCCAGCAACGTAGCTGCTCCTGCTCTCTGGAAGGCCCTGGGCTCAACCCCTACAGATCACAGCCATTCCCTGC